CCGGTTCCCGGAAGAGAGTACGGGGTCTTGTAGCCACCAGGAACAGCAACCCGAGCTCCATTGTTCGAATACCACCAGTTGAACACCAAGCCACCATCGGCGCCAAAGATCGGGTCCCCCGGCGTGCCATCCCCACTGAAAGATGACGGCATGTCCGATGCGATGTGGGTGTCGCTGGCGCTGCCATCCCCCGTGGCATAGATCCTCCCAGGGTTGTGGTCAGAAAAATAGTCATGCATCGATTTGGTGCTGCTCGTAAGCTCCCACGTCTTCGACATCTCGCATGCACCGCCGGCGTGCCGAGCGATGGTGACGTACTTCACCGGAGCAGTCCCAACTGTGCCGTCGACGAAGTCGTTCGTAAGACTTGTGGCGGCGCTCCCAGCACTGCCGTACCACGCGGATGCCCCGTACCCCATATTCCCACCATCGCAGGGGTTGATGTTTGCATACAGCATCCAGGGGTTAGAGGAATTGCTGGCTGCAAGCAGCTGGACTGCGACTGCAGTAGGCATCCATAGAAACGCCAAGCGCACGAAGACGACAGACGCCATCGTCAACCTTCAAGTATGCGCAGTGAGGTGTGGTGTTCGAGAGAGGTACGTAGTCCGGAAGGTTCCCGAGGAGCCTTTCAAGCCGACGTGGATACGGCCCCCAGATTGCGCGTTTGAGACGGGGGATCGATGGCCCAATCCCACCAGCCTTGCAGGACGTGAGAGGTCTAACGAGCTCGTTCTGGTACCCCCCCCTTCTTCCCCTTCGGGAGGGGGCCCCCTTCCCCCTGCCCCTCCCCCTGGGTCTGGAACCCTCTCCCGGCGAGGTACCAGATGGGCCTTCCTGGCCCCAGATGGCCCCCCCCAAGAACGCCCAAGAACGCCACAGGATCACCCCAAGAGGCAAATGTTCGGGTCCAGACGGGGTGGGACGTGCTTGAGTACCCACTTGGCCAACAACAACAACCACAACAACAACAGCAACAACAACAATATCACCATCACCATCATCATCATCATCATCATCATCATCATCATCATCATCATCATCATCATCATCATCATCATCATCATCATCATCACCATCATAATTCGCGCTGTGGGCAACCCTGCATATGCCCGCGCCCCCCCCCCGGACCTGCACAACTGGCAAGGTTAGGTTATCCTGGGGGGGAAGGGTGGCAAGCCCGATAACCCGGGTTATCGCCGGACCACAAAAAAACAGTCTCTCATCAGCATCAGCATCAGCATCACAATCATCAGTACCATCATCATCAGCAGCATCAGCATCAGCATCAGCATCATCACCATCTTCACCAAGCATCATCATCATCATCATCACAATCGTCATCAACAGCACAATCAGCATAAGAAGCAACTTCATCATCATCAGCAGCAGCATCCTCATCAGCATCATCACCAACATATTTTCCATCGTCATCATAATCAGCATCATCAGCAGCATCATCACCATCATTCATCATTCATCAGAATCGCCATCATTATCAATAGCATCACCATCACCGTCACCATCATCATCACCTTCATCCTCCTCTTCATCCTCATCATCATCCGCATCAGCATCAGAAGCATCGTCATCAGTATCACAAACATCATCATCATGATCATCATCAGTATCATCATCATCATCATCGTCGTCATCATCATCTCCAACACCATCACCACCATCACCACCATCAGCATCAGCATCATCAACAGCATCATCATCACCATCCTCATCATAATCAACACCAGCAGCATCGCACTCATAATCATCATCAGTTTCCTCCGCCTCCTGCTCCTGCTCCTTATCACCATCATCCTGATCCTCCCCCTCCTCATTACCATCGTCATCACAATTGTCATCGTCAACAGCATAATCCGCCGACCCCTTGTGGGTCTCTAGGCGTGTGAGATAGTTCCCCCCCCTAACCCCCCCCCTGGGACCCCAAACCGGAGATTCGAACCCCCCCCCCCGGGCCCACCACGAGCGCATCACGGGGCTCTTTTGGGCCCAAAAGGGGATCAAGACGGGCCAAGAAGGCCCCAAGACTCCTCCAAGACGGCTCACGAGAGCTCCGAGGCGCCAAACGAGCGCTCCCAGACGCCCAAGATGCCCCCAAGACGAGCCTAGAGGCCTCCAAGACGGCCCAAGAGGCCTCCAAGAGCAGTCCTGAGAAGGGCCGAAGCGCCGAAAATCGTCAAATTCCTATGGGAAAACGTACATTTTGATCATATACTACCTGTCGGCCTTCACGGCGTTGAAGACGGTCCCAGAGCACCCCAAGACCGCCCCGAGAGGCCCCCAAGAGGCGCCCAAGTCGGCCCAAGAGGGCGCCAAGACGGCCCAAGAGGCCCCCAAGACAGCCCAAGAGGGCCCCAAGACGGCCCCAAAAGGTGCCCAAGAGGGGGAGCCCGAACCGACAATTCGAGCCTTCCGCCCCAAGACGGCCCCAGAAGGCCCCAAGAGGCCCCAAGAGGCCCCCAAGACGCCCACAAGAGGCCCCAAGAGGCCCCCAAGAGGCTACAAAACGGCCTCAAAACGGCCCCCAAGAGGCTTCGAAACTGCCTCCAAGAGTCCCGCGAGAAGCCCCCCAAGAGATCCCAGGGCGTCGAGATGACCCCAAGCGGATTCCACATGGCCCCAAGAGAGGTCATTATGGACCCCTACACGACTCCCCAGCCCGATTCAAGCGAGCCGGCAAGACCGCCAAGATGAGGGGTCGGCGGATGTGGCGTAAGCCTATAGAATCATCTTCATCACCATCATCAGCACCGTCATCATTATCATAATCATCATCAGGATCATCAGCATCATCATCTTCAGCAGCAGCACCATCAGCATCATCACCCTCATCTTCATCGTCATCAGCGGTAGCAGCATCATCACAATCACCAGCACCACCATCATGAACAGCATCATTACCATCACCATCACCATCACAACCATCAGCAATAGCAGCATCATCACCATCACCACTACCGCAATCATCATATCATCATCAGCAGCAGCTGCATCAGCGTCAGCATCACCACCACCACCACAACGATCATCATTATCATCATCAGCATCATCAGCAGCACCATCACCATTGTCATTATCATGATCATCACCATTATCATCATCACCATCATCATCGCCTTCGTCATCATCATGATCATCATCACCATCATCAGCATCATCAGCAGCAGAAGAATGTTCATCACCATTTCATCCTCATCACGGTTCTCAATCGCAAACCAGAATGTGGGGCTGGAAAGTTGGCGAGACTTGCCACAGCCAGCTGGATAGTAGCTACCCTTCAGCTCGTGTGGCCTCCGCCTGAACCGAACACCCAGCAAAGAGCAGAATACCCGACACAGCAGCAGAGCATCGACAAGGGCTCGAGAACCTGAACAGAAACAGCGTGGCTACGAGTTGGTGCAAAAGCAGTGCCAGTGAAAACGCCCAGTATTCCCATCCCCCCGCCTCGTCTGTCTCATCCCCGTCCCAGGCGCCTCTCCCCCCACGCAAGGCCTCGTGGACTCACACGATAGTCTGGCAAAAACTTAAACTGCCTATCAACGACGCGGGCGCCTTGAAACGAAGACCGGTGCGGGCGGGAAGCATCCGCACTGAGTCCCACTAACCCACTGGGCGTGAGTGGCTTAGTGAGTGTCCTCTCCCAACCCCCCTTCTTCCCTACCGGGAAAGGTAACATCCCTGCTCATACCCCCTCCCCTGAACATGGCCATGGGGCGGGGGGCGGCGAACGATCAGAGCGTCCAGGATGACCCATGATGGTTCCATGAGGGCCGCAAAGAGCCGAAGATGACCTCCAAGATGGCTCGAGATACCTCAAGATGGCTTCCCACATGCTCCAAGCGGCCCAAAACCGACGGCTCCAAGCCCCGAAGCCTCCCAGGGACCTCCCAAGAGGCCAAAGACCTTCAATAAACTACTAAGGACAACTATGTGTGGTGCCGTCTCGCCTTTTCGCATTCGACGGCCCTCGGGGGCCTCAAGGTGGCTCCACTTGGTCCAAGAAGCCACAAGAGAGCCCCAACAGGAGCCCAAGAGGGTCCCAGGACGTCCCCAAGAGCCCCAAGAGCGCTCAGAGGGGTCCAAGAGACGATTCTTAGGACCCGCAGAGGGAGGGGGGGGTGATGAAGTACCCCCCCAATATTTGACCGAACTCGTCGAAGATCGCCCCAAGATGCCCCCCAAGGCTCCCAAGATTGCCCCAAGACGGCCCCAAGAGGCGCCCAGGAGGCCCAAAGGAGGCCCCCCAAAGGCCCCCAAGAGCTACCAAGAGACCGCCAAGAGGCCCCAACAGGCTTCGCCGTGGTACCCAAGACGCTTCAAGCCCGTCAAGAGGCCCCCAGGACGCCCCAAGAGCACTCCAAGAAGCTCTCAAGAGACATCCGAAGAGACTCCGAGAAGCATCCAAGAAGCATCTGGCTATTATGTGTGCCCTCCTCCTCCGACTGCTCGTCCTGATCCTCCGCATCCTCCTCATCCTCAACATCAGAATCATAATCAGCATCATCATCATCAACATCTTCATCAGCGGCGCCAACGGCATCAGCATCAGCATCATCAGCATCATCACCAGCATCATCATCAGCATCATCATCAGCATGATCAGCATGATCAGCAGCAGCAGACTGTTCCTCCTCTTCCTCTCTCCTCCCTCCTCCCTCCTCCCCTCCCCTCCTCCTCCTCCTCCGATGTCTCCTCCATCCTCCCCCGATTGGGACATAACGCCTTCTCCAGCCTTTTATTCCACTGAATGCTATTCCACATCCCTGATCAGGGGAACTCCCCTGGGCATCGTTTCTGGATGAGCTGGTGGGGTTACGCGAAGCGTCTCGAACCAATAATGTATGTACACCAATGCGCGGAGGAGCTCGAAGCGGCTGACATGGACAGATCGCCGACATGAGCACGATTCAGCCTAGCAGCTCCTGAATAGCAGACAGGAGAAGCAGCAGCAGAGAACCACCAGTGAAAGCACTGAAGCATGGTCAAGCGAGGCTTGCCTCTGCGACTGAGAGCACTGAGGGAGCTGTTTGGCCCCCCTCCGCACTGTCAACCAGGGCCAAGCGGTTGGCACATGCCTCTGGAGGGGTGACTACGCCCGTGTGGTCGTCTTCACCCAGAAGACCTCCCACGGCAAATCCTGCTCGCCCTAAATGCTTCACGTACACGTTCAAGTACGACAGACCACTGTCCGTGCGCCCATGAACGACTTTGAGCACGACCTTACCGAAAGCAACCCATTCTGGAGTCGCGACGTCGCCACCTTGCGACACGCTGAAATGATACCCTCCAGCTTGTTTCGCCTCCGCCCACGACCCCGTCACGTTCAGCTCCTGAAAGTACATATCCGCGCACTGTCCGCCCAACTGGCGCGCGTCGGCCTGCACGCGAAGCAAGGCACGTTCAGCGCCCGCTCCACGGGGGATGTTGATCAGAACATGCTTGCCCGGCTTCATCAAGTCGAAGCGCTCACCGTGAACGTTCCGCAGGTGGGGATCGCCAACGGCAGCCGCGCCCCCCGCTCCGCCCGCTGCCGCCCCCGACACCTGCGCCGACAGCGTCGAGCCCTGGCAGGGGAAAGTGGACAGAGCAGCAGACACGTAGATGGCGTAGCTGCCCAAGCAGCCAAAGTCCGTGCTCCCCCACGCACTTCCGTGGTCGCTGCCAAGCACCTGGCAGGAAGTGCCGTGGCAGTCCCCCATGATTTTGGCAGCGTCGTGCCACCAGCTGCCACTCCCTCCACCAGCTTGAGTGTTAGCACCGAACTCGTTGCCCAGACCGTGGAGGTCGTCGTTGTTCTCCCCGGTTCCCGGAAGAGAGTATGGGGTCTTGTAGCCACCAGGAACAGCAACCCGAGCTCCATTGTTCGAATACCACCAGTTGAACACCAAGCCACCATCGGCGCCAAAGATCGGGTCCCCCGGCGTGCCATCCCCACTGAAAGATGACGGCATGTCCGATGCGATGTGGGTGTCGCTGGCGCTGCCATCCCCCGTGGCATAGATCCTCCCAGGGTTGTGGTCAGAAAAATAGTCATACATCGATTTGGTGCTGCTCGTAAGCTCCCACGTCTTCGACATCTCGCATGCACCGCTGGCGTGCCGAGCGATGGTGACGTACTTCACCGGAGCAGTCCCCACTGTGCCGTCGACGAAGTCGTTCGTAAGACTTGTGGCGCGGCGCTCCCAGCACTGCCGTACCACGCGGATGCCCCGTACCCCATATTCCCACCATCGCAGGGGTTGATGTTTGCATACAGCATCCAGGGGTTAGAGGAATTGCTGGCTGCAAGCAGCTGGACTGCGACTGCAGTCGGCATCCATAAAAACGCCAAGCGCACGAAGACGACAGACGCCATCTTCAACCTTCAAGTATGCGCAGTGAGGTGTGGTGTTCGAGAGAGGTACGTAGTCCGGAAGGTTCCCGAGGAGCCTTTCAAGCCTCCCGCGTTTGAGACGGGGGATCGATGGCCCAATCCCACCAGCCTTGCAGGACGTGAGAGGTCTAACGAGCTCGTTCTGGTACCCCCCCCTTCTTCCCCTTCGGGAGGGGGCCCCCTTCCCCCTGCCCCTCCCCCTGGGTCTGGAACCCTCTCCCGGCGAGGTACCAGATGGGTCTTCCTGGCCCCAGATGCCCCCCCCCCAGAGCGCCCAAGAACGCCACAGGAGCGCCCCAAGAGGCAAATGTTCCGGTCCAGACGGGGTGGGACGTACTTGAGTACCCACTTGGCCAACAACAACAACCACAACAACAACAGCAGCAACAACAACAATGTCACCATCATCATCATCATCATCATCATCATCATCATCATCATCATCATCATCATCATCATCATCATCATCATCATCATCATCATCATCATCATCATCATAATTCGCGCTGTGGGCAACCCTGCATATGCCCGCGGCAAGGTTAGGTTATCCTGGGGGGGGAAGGGTGGCAAGCCCGATAACCCGGGTTATCGCCGGACCACAAAAAACAGTCTCTCATCAGCATCAGCATCAGCATCACAATCATCAGTACCATCATCATCAGCAGCATCAGCATCAGCATCAGCATCATCACCATCTTCACCAACAGCATCATCATCATCATCACAATCGTCATCAACAGCACAATCAGCATAAGAAGCAACTTCATCATCATCAGCAGCAGCATCCTCATCAGCATCATCACCAACATATTTTCCATCGTCATCATAATCAGCATCATCAGCAGCATCATCACCATCATTCATCATTCATCATAATCGTCAGCATCATCAATAGCATCACCATCACCGTCACCATCATCATCACCTTCATCCTCCTCTTCATCCTCATCATCATCCGCATCAGCATCAGAAGCATCGTCATCAGTATCACAAACATCATCATCATGATCATCATCAGTATCATCATCATCATCATCATCATCATCGTCATCATCATCTCCAACACCATCACCACCATCACCACCATCAGCATCAGCATCATCAACTGCATCATCATCATCACCATCCTCATCATAATCAACATCATCATCACCAGCAGCATCGCACTCATAATCATCATCATTTTCCTCCGCCTCCTGCTCCTGCTCCTTATCACCATCATCCTGATCCTCCCCCTCCTCATTACCATCGTCATCACAATTGTCATCGTCAACAGCATAATCATCTTCATCACCATCATCAGCACCGTCATCATTATCATAATCATCATCAGGATCATCAGCATCATCATCTTCAGCAGCAGCACTATCAGCATCATCACCCTCATCTTCATCGTCATCAGCGGTAGCAGCATCATCACAATCACCAGCACCACCATCATGAACAGCATCATTACCATCACCATCACCATCACAACCATCAGCAGTAGCAGCATCATCACCATCACCACTACCGCAATCATCATATCATCATCAGCAGCAGCTGCATCAGCGTCAGCATCACCACCACCACCACAACCATCATCATTATCATCATCAGCATCATCAGCAGCACCATCACCATTGTCATCATCATGATCATCACCATTATCATCATCACCATCATCATCGCCTTCGCCATCATCATGATCATCATCACCATCATCAGCATCAGCAGCAGAATAATGTTCATCACCATTTCATCCTCATCACGGTTCTCAATCGCAAACCAGAATGTGGGGCTGGACAGTTGGCGAGACTTGCCACAGCCAGCTGGATAGTAACTACCCTCCAGTTCGTGTGGCCTCCGCCTGAACCGAACACCCAGCAAAGAGCAGAATACCCGACACAGCAGCAGAGCATCGACAAGGGCTCGAGAACCTGAACAGAAACAGCGTGGCTACGAGTTGGTGCAAAAGCAGTGCCAGTGAAAACGCCCAGTATTCCCATCCCCCCGCCTCGTCTGTCTCATCCCCGTCCCAGGCGGCTCTCCCCCCACGCAAGGCCTCGTGGACTCACACGATAGTCTGGCAAAAGCTTAAACTTCCTATCAACGACGCGGGCGCCTTGAAACGAAGACCGGTGCGGGCGGGAAGCATCCGCACTGAGTCCCACTAACCCACTGGGCGTGAGTGGTTTAGTGAGTGTCCTCTCCCAACCCCCCTTCTTCCCTACCGGGAAAGGTAACATCCCTGCTCATACCCCCTCCCCTGAACATGGCCATGGGGCGGGGGTCGGCGAGCGATCAGAGCGTCCAGGATGACCCATGATGGTTCCATGAGGGCCGCAAAGAGCCGAAGATGACCTCCAAGATGGCTCGAGATAGCTCAAGATGGCTTCCCACATGCTCCAAGCGGCCCAAAACCGACGGCTCCAAGCCCCGAAGCCTCCCAGGGACCTCCCAAGAGGCCAAAGACCTTCAATAAACTACTAAGGACAACTATGTGTGGTGCCGTCTCGCCTTTTCGCATTCGACGGCCCTCGGGGGCCTCAAGGTGGCTCCACTTGGTCCAAGAAGCCACAAGAGAGCCCCAACAGGAGCCCAAGAGGGTCCCAGGACGTCCCCAAGAGCCCCAAGAGCGCTCAGAGGGGTCCAAGAGACGATTCTTAGGACCCGCAGAGGGAGGGGGGGGTGATGAAGTACCCCCCCAATATTTGACCGAACTCGTCGAAGATCGCCCCAAGATGCCCCCCAAGGCTCCCAAGATTGCCCCAAGACGGCCCCAAGAGGCGCCCAGGAGGCCCAAAAGAGGCCCCCCAAAGGCCCCCAAGAGCTACCAAGAGACCGCCAAGAGGCCCCAAGAGGCTTCGCCGTGGTACCCAAGACGCTTCAAGCCCGTCAAGAGGCCCCCAGGACGCCCCAAGAGCACTCCAAGAAGCTCTCAAGAGACATCCGAAGAGACTCCGAGAAGCATCCAAGAAGCATCTGGCTATTATGTGTGCCCTCCTCCTCCAACTGCTCGTCCTGATCCTCCGCATCCTCCTCATCCTCAACATCAGAATCATAATCAGCATCATCATCATCAGCATCATCATCAGCAGCGTCAACGGCATCAGCATCAGCATCATCAGCATCATCACCAGCATCATCATCAGCATCATCATCAGCATGATCAGCATGATCAGCAGCAGCAGACTGTTCCTCCTCTTCCTCTCTCCTCCCTCCTCCCTCCTCCCCTCCCCTCCTCCTCCTCCTCCTCCGATGTCTCCTCCATCCTCCCCCGATTGGGGCATAACGCCTTCTCCAGCCTTTTATTCCACTGAATGCTATTCCACATCCCTGATCAGGGGAACTCCCCTGGGCATCGTTTCTGGATGAGCTGGTGGGGTTACGCGAAGCGTCTCCAATCAAAAATGTATGTATACCAATGCGCGGAGGAGCTCGAAGCGGCTGACATGGACAGATCGCCGACATGAGCACGATTCAGCCTAGCAGCTCCTGAACCGCAGACAGGAGAAGCAGCAGCAGAGAACCACCAGTGAAAGCACTGAAGCATGGTCAAGCGAGGCTTGCCTCTGCGACTGAGAGCACTGAGGGAGCTGTTTGGCCCCCCTCCGCACTGTCAACCAGGGCCAAGCGGTTGGCACATGCCTCTGGAGGGGTGACTACGCCCGTGTGGTCGTCTTCACCCAACAGACCTCCCACGGCAAATCCTGCTCGCCCTAAATGCTTCACGTACACGTTCAAGTACGACAGACCACTGTCTGTGCGCCCATGAACGACTTTGAGCACGACCTTACCGAAAGCAACCCATTCTGGAGTCGCGACGTCGCCACCTTGCGACACGCTGAAATGATAACCTCCAGCTTGTTTCGCATCCGCCCACGACCCCGTCACGTTCAGCTCCTGAAAATACATATCCGCGCACTGTCCGCCCAACTGGCGCGCGTCGGCCTGCACGCGAAGCAAGGCACGTTCAGCGCCCGCTCCACGGGGGATGTTGATCAGAACATGCTTGCCCGGCTTCATCAAGTCGAAGCGCTCACCGTGAACGTTCCGCAGGTGGGGATCGCCAACGGCAGCCGCGCCCCCCGCTCCGCCCGCTGCCGCCCCCGACACCTGCGCCGACAGCGTCGAGCCCTGGCAGGGGAAAGTGGACAGAGCAGCAGACACGTAGATGGCGTAGCTGCCCCAGCAGCCAAAGTCCGTGCTCCCCCACGCACTTCCGTGGTCGCTGCCAAGCACCTGGCAGGAAGTGCCGTGGCAGTCCCCCATGATTTTGGCAGCGTCGTGCCACCAGCTGCCACTCCCTCCACCAGCTTGAGTGTTAGCACCGAACTCGTTGCCCAGACCGTGGAGGTCGTCGTTGTTCTCCCCGGTTCCCGGAAGAGAGTACGGGGTCTTGTAGCCACCAGGAACAGCAACCCGAGCTCCATTGTTCGAATACCACCAGTTGAACACCAAGCCACCATCGGCGCCAAAGATCGGGTCCCCCGGCGTGCCATCCCCACTGAAAGATGACGGCATGTCCGATGCGATGTGGGTGTCGCTGGCGCTGCCATCCCCCGTGGCATAGATCCTCCCAGGGTTGTGGTCAGAAAAATAGTCATACATCGATGTGGTGCTGCTCGTAAGCTCCCACGTCTTCGACATCTCGCATGCACCGCCGGCGTGCCGAGCGATGGTGACGTACTTCACCGGAGCAGTCCCCACTGTGCCGTCGAC